TTAAGACCTTCCACGTCAAAGCTATCTCGGCAACATCGTTGGGCAGTTTTTTGGGCAGTCAGAAAGAACCAGGTGAGAGCATCAACATCAGCCTGTATGGACACGGTGACATAAAAACTGCATGCACAAAATCACCAGTAAAATATGAAAATCTACTGAAAAGGTTTTTGTTACGTTTTCTTTCCAAAAATAAGAGAAAAAGGTTTTGGGTCCATGATCCGTGTCTCAGCACTGAAGACAGAAACACTATAGGTATTAAATATGCACGTGATATATTCAAGACCATAGATTAAAAACAACTGATATGGAGACATAAATAGCTCGTTTTTTTGGTTGTTGTGCTGAAGGAATTGTGTTGCCTGTCCCTGCCAAAAGGATTACACATCAAATTACTTCATCGGGCAGCAAACCAGTAAATTTTCTCCATTTCAAAGAGCAAATCTGTTCATGTAACCCACATCTATCACATGCTCGGTGCTAAAAATGCTTGCTTGGACCGATCCTTGATGAACACTTTATCATTTTCTTTTGTTTTATGACACCTTTGAAAACAATTTCATTACCTTAAAGCTTTGCAAATGAGAAAAGCATAGGTGAGCACACACTTCTATAGAAGAAAGACTTCCCTCCTCTAAGGTCAATCCAGAAGGTTTGAGCAATACATGAGCAATTTGCAGGTATGTTCTGGAATTATGAGTAGCTTATAATGGCCAATGTAGTTTAATACTGCTGTGCATTAATGAACATTAGCAACCCATTTCACTCACACAATAACTCCTCTCTTTGTATTCTACACTTTGCTTTACACACACTTATTAGATAGGTGACATTTATGGCTGCAGGGGCTACTCTAACCATTGTGTTAGTATGAACTCTGCACGGTTTTACATTCAAATGATATTAGAGCAGACTACAACTGCATGATATTTTAAAGATTTGCATTTTTACAAAGTAGGTTCACAACTCACAAGTAGGAAAGTCACAAAGCAGAGAATTGCTTCTTTCATGAGCCGTTTACTCTGATCTCAAAAAACATTTGCAGTCATACAGTATGAGTTGCTCTGGCAAAGAAAAAAATTTTTTTCATGCCAACTTTTGCAGAATGACAATAACAACCCAAAGATTTCTCCTTCAGGACAAATCTGCAAGCCTACAAAGACAACACAGAACAAAGTTTGATCAAATTTAATGAGGTTTGCCCAAAAGCAAAAGCATAACCCACAGATAGAAACGTGTAACGGCTGAAGACAGCCGCTCAACCAGGAAGACACCTTTGCTAGAGTGCACTTGCAGTCTTGTTGATTACATCTCCGTCAGAGATGATAACAGAGCAGCGGGTTAATGAAGCTCACTGCAGAAGTGCCTCGCGTCGTGTCAGTTTTTCATTGCATCACTCGGTCTTACGTAGAGCCGTGCAGTATTAGTAATTACTGACGCTACTTCAATCTTTCAAGATTCATAATCAGCTCTTTTTCCGCTTGAGGAAACCAGCAACACTGCTTCAAAACCACCCACCCTTTTACAATACGCCTGTCACTCCCAGTCCATTTCTCTGTTGACTGAGCAGTGGAAAACACCATCTAATGACAAGATAGGATGTGTGTTAACTTTAAAAGCATTTGTTTCCCAGCAACCACCGTGGAAAAGATTTTGTGTGACCGTACCTCACTCAAGGATGTTGTCAAGGTTGTAATTAGTACTAAAAGAAGGCCACCTGCCAAGTAATCCCATAAACTCAGCACTCCACATTAAGCATTTTGTCTGCTACGAGTTAAACGCAGGCACGGGAAGATGCACTAATAACTGTCCATCACACTGATTTGCAGGAATACCTCCAGGCAAAAATTAATAATTCATTTATAATCACTTTTCTTTAAAAAGAAATCATGTTTGGTTGCTTTACAAATAATGCTGCGTGTGACTGAAATGGCAGATCAGCACTTAAGAAATGTTGTTAATTAACAAGCAGTCCTGTCACAAGCAGGCAGATAGGTTAAAAAAATAAAGTTCACACTATGCTCATTTTGGATAAAATCACAGTCAGCAGTGCTAACCTTGCACCCCTATCGACTAGAAGTATGGACTTTAACACCAGAATGCCGCACTCTCAGTATGTGAGGCGAGAAGGTGTTTCTGTATTTTTGGAGATTGTCTCCTCACAAAACCAACAAAATATGGCAGGAGAAATTTAATAGAGACAACACCTTCTCTAGTTCCTTATGTTACCGTTAGTGCCAGTGTTATTCTTATCGCTAGGAAAATCAGGACATCAGTTAGATTGTTCATCAACGCGCAACAGAAAAGCTGTTAATAACAAAGCTTCAGTTTATGGTTCAACCAAAAGATGTCACCCATAACATCACCCTCTGTGAAAACAACAGTCTGGTAAGTGCTGAGGAGACACAGAAGAGAAAGCCAGCAGTCCCATGCACACACATAGACACGTACATATACGCACGCACACGCGCATTCCCTTTGCACAGGCACCACACTGAGATCTAATCGATGGAGCTCATTCATATTGAACCACAGACGTCAGGGGAAGCCGGGGGAATTACAAGCAGCCTCCGCTGTGAGATCGCAGCCTGGAGGAAGCTGGAGGAAGACAGCTCTGCACTGGTAACCTCCAGTTTACCGTCCACTGGATTTTCAGCAACACGATTATGAGGTGTCCTAACGCCCCGAGAAAGTACAGTCAGGTTCACTGCACTTAGATTGTACTGTTAAATAAAAGTATGTGTGTATGCATATAAAACATTACTTTAAGTCCAAAAAATTACCTTAACCGATTTTCACCAACTCATAGTAGCACTAACATACAACCTCAATGTCACAGTAGCTCACAATTCACCAGTTATTGCCTGTAAATGTGACCTCGACCTTAAGGCTGATTTGAATGAAGACCCATTAGGTGATCATTGCATGCAGGTTTGAGTAAATACTGACTTGGGAATCGTAGACAAATACTTCACCACGGCATAATTTCATCAGTAATTTGGCAGCATTAGCTAAAAAAAACAAAAAAAATAATAATCACAAGGCTCTCTCAAATGTCACTAAAAACAGGATCAAATGATTAGCAAATCATTTAAAGACGATATTTAATACAGCTGTACAAACACGACAGATCAAATGCTAAAACTAAATGTTTTTTTAATAATCCTTTTTTAATTTCATAAATTATATAATAAAAGTTGTTTTTCAACTGTGCTGCATCATCTCTTCTTTTAACACTCTTAAGCATTTGGGAGGTGATGGGACAAACTGCCATTAAAGTGCTCACCAGTTCAGGACCTTTTTCAGAAATACCTTTCATAGTGTAAGAAATGGGTGACAGGGATGGAATAGATCCAGAAAGTGTTTTGGGATTGTCTTTTTGTAATATGTAAGGGTTTCCCTGAAAAAGATCTCGTCCAGATGGCATCTATGTTGCTTGCTGTTTCAAAACATGTATATACTGTTCACCATTAATATGGCCTTCAGAAATATTATTGAGTGGGCCATGTTGACCAATGGCCCATACAATAACATCTTGGATGCTGGCTTTTGAACACAGCTCTGATGACAAGCCGAACGGTCCTACTTGTCTTAAACACAGAAGATGTGGCACGCATGGCTTCCAAAGACTGTTTCAAATTTTCGGGACCTGTGGGACCTCTGGATCGTAGAGATTTCACTTCAGTTTTCTGATGCAGTGACAAACTCTGTTGACTGACAGTGTTTTTTTCAGGAGTTCTTAAACCCATCCTGAGATTTCTACCATAGACTTGTGTCTGTTTTTTACTGTAGAGCCATAAGAGCTTGGCTTTTGTCTTTGAATGACGAGCCCCACTTATCTTTATATCTGAAACATTCAGGCTCTCTGGGATGCTCTTTTTATATATAATGCTGGTACTAATTAACCTCATTAGTTGTGAGATGTTCCACCAGGTGTTTTTCATGACACAACCTTTAAATTGTTTTAATATCCCTGACCCAATCAATAAGTCAACATTTCTCAGCTTCAGCATCTGAAACAGATAGGTAATCTACAATAAATATATAAACCAAGCAATTAAAATAAAAGTGTCAAAAGTTCCTGGGAAAGGCCTTATACTATGAGGTAGTGCTGGAATTTATATATTTACAAAAGTGATAAAGACAGTAAAATGTAAGACTGACATTATATAAGAGAGAAGTGCAAATTGCATTAATAAATAAAATGTACACTATAAATCTAAGAAAACCAGCAGTATGAAGGCGTAATACACAAATATGCTTGTGACAGGTGTGTTCACCTGTGACAGAATGAAGAGTTGTTTTACAAGTTAATAGATAATGGCAGGAATGAGTTGCTAACATTTTCTTTATGGCAACGAGGTGAATCAGTCTGAGGGAGAAGGAGCTCTGCTCCCTCAGAAGTGTGTAGTGGAGCGGGGGTGATGGGCTGTCCATGATGGAGACCAGTTTGTTCAGTGACCTCTGACCCTCACTGACTCAAACGCCTCCAAATTCTGACCAATGACAGTTCCAGCCTTCCAGATTAGTTTGATGATCCTGCTGGCATCTCTGCCACTGATGATGGCAAATTATACTAATTTCAGTTAAATTATTTTCAAATATTTGCATTCTGTTTTTCCTGATATCTTTCAAAGCATCCTACATTTTGGGGTGCTACCAACATCTTCCTGTAGGTTTGGTGTAATTATTAGACAGGAAAGAGGTGAAGCCCTAAGTTTGTTCACAAGGTCAGTAAAGAAACTGCCACTTTGACCCCAATCAGGCTCAATGAAGGCTCTAAATGAACAGCAGATGTGTTTTCACAGCTCATTTAAAATTAAACCAACAACTGGGAGAAAAAGCATGGTTCACAACTTGACAGTCGAAAGAAGGGAGAAGGACATGAAAGCCAAAAAGCGCCGAAAGCAAACGCCTTGACAGCGGTCTTCAGCCGGCCTTAATGGCCCATGAAAAGTTCAGCATTAACGAGACTTTATCTCCCTCACACACAGAGAACTCACCAGTAACTTCTGCTGTAGCCTTTGGTGGCTCAGGGTCTCTGGGTTAAGTCGCCGAGCTTGGCTGTAGTCCTCTAGAAGACAAAGCTCGTCCAAAAGGTGGAGGGGAAAAGCTTCATTTCTCTGCAGTGGGGGACAGGGAAGGTGGGGGAGTTATTTGTCACAATAGCAATGGGAGGTTTATGTGCAGCTTTTTTGTTGGGATTTGCTGTATTCCAAATAACCTTTCACTACTTTTGCTGAGTCCCACTGGTGATGAAATCTGCTACCACTCGATCTGTAAGTGTAGGTGACTGGCTGCTAACAGCCAGCAGGAGTTCTGAGTGGGAAAGCAGCTCTAACGGCTCTAACAGATACACTAACGCAGTGCAAGCAGAATGTGTGTTTCTCTTTATTGATCTTCACGGATTCAGTCTGACAGCAAAGCATGCTCAACTACCTGCCCACCTGCTGCTTTTAGCAAACTCCGACAACTGCATTTAACTATAAATGCAGTTGTTAGAGACTAATTAAATTATATTCAATATATATCAAAGTATTTCAAAACAGCTCATTTTACATAGTTTCTCAAATCTGCAAACAAACAAGCAACATGCTAATGTCGTGTATCATTGAAAAATATCTCTTAAGCACTAACAAACCCACATAAGTATAAGATGTCACACTCAAAAAAGTCAACTAAGGCACTTGTTTGATTATTTAGATATAAAAATGCTTGATTACTTTAAATATATTATGTTTATAGTTATTAAATGACTCCTTCTTGCTGGTGCAAACTAGATCTATATGTCTGCACCCAATGAGAAGAACAGTGACTCTTTCATTGCTAACTATTGCCCGTGCTGCATACCACGGAAAAAGTTCAAATCAACGCAAGCAGGAACAAATGTTGGAAGGTTGTTAAGCTAACACAGCTTCAGAGCTACCAGTTACAGAACTACTTTTATAAGTTTATAGTTAACAAATCTAGCTCAATCCTATACTTTGTTGTTTTGTTTTCTAGTATACTCCAGGTACATTTTGCTGTCTCAAAGTGATCACACACACACAGATTGACTTTGTGTGGAAATCTGTTTGTCCTCTATTGTTAGCCAGGCTACTGTTAGCCTCTGTGCTATAACTGAGACTTGGTAGGGAGTGTTACAGTCTAGCTTCATTTAGCAGAAGCTAGCCAGTCCTCAGTGCCCAAAGACAACTGTTAGCAGGTTTAATTCATTTGAGAGACAGCGTCTTTCCATCATCATCACAATATAGCTCATTTCAGAAGCTGGAAATGAGCTATATTGATAAAAGATGGCTGCAGCTTCTAGGTCTGTAAAATGAAGTCTCTTACGTGTGTTGTAAAATACTTCTGGTCCTGTAGAAGTCTACTGGACCTCTGTAAACACTTTGCTATTGCATTTATGGTCTCAGTCACTCATTTCAGGTCATACTGAATAAAAATGAAATCCATTTTACAAATCTTGATCATATTATGTTTCATCAAGGAGAATCATCTGGGATATCATTGGCTAAGTATAGCAAAGAAAAATAAAATTAGCGTCTGGTACAATACAGTACGGGTTTAATGAGACACTGAGTCAAAGATTGATTTCACCTGGTTGTTTCAACAGAGCTTTCCAAATGCAGTTAGTGAAATCCAACTTTGACAAACGTAACATTTTTCCACAGTTTTTGTGTGCTCACAAACTGTGACATTTCATGTTTAAATCCAATTCACCCCTCCACAGAACAATGGAAACAACCAGGTGTTTTGGTTTACCAACATGTATCGTCTGCACAAACCTACGGCAGTACTAAGCATCCTCAACACAAAATGACTCTTAATTAATTCTGCGGTTCATGAGCAGCAGCTGAAGAACATTTAGCACACACAAAATAAGGAAATGGCTTGAAAGAAGTGTTAAAGGAGGAAGAACTAGTGATAACGATAATGTTGGATCCTGTTAACAGCAGACAATTACAGAAAATAATGTCAACAACAAGACTGATATTTGTAATATTTTCTAATCATGTATTAGTTCATTCAACTATGGACATGTGGTGGCATGATGAAATTACATTCATTCAACAGATTTTATATATCTATATATATATTTTTTTTTTGAGTGCAACAGGCTAAAATAACATCCTCTCTCCATGTTCTCCACTTAGCCAGCAACACTGATAGCACTACCTAAACTTCTTGTTATTGCCAGGCTAGTGGAGCTGGCTGGAATAATAATGCCCCCTGTTAAATTATTCATGGCTCCAGTCAGGTGGAACCAGATGCTACTGTTGTGTCATAAAGGAAGAGCTGTAACTCAACTCAAGCACGGAAGGCTGTTGCTCCACGGAGGGAAAGACTGGATCCAGCATGGATGCTGCTGGGCTACAAACAAAAACACGGAATGTCATGACACTCGCTCGGCTCTTTCCAAGTGACATTTTCCTGCGAGTGTTCTAACAGAGGACAATGGTTCAGTAGGTTGATCCATATGGGGGTAAAGCCTAAGGTGCTTTTTGCTGCTCACCACCCTGTGTTGGTGTTGCTGTATACCCAACCCTGACATTTGTGGCCATGCCCAGAAGATGACCTTTTTTGTCCATGCCATGTTTTAGTGCTGAATACTAATGCTATGGTGCTGTGTGCCCGCCACTCATGGGAACAAGCAGTGCTATTTTTAGCCACATGTCCCCAGCTGCACATCTCCAACCCGGGGCCAATGGGCAATTAGTGTTTGTCTCTCATGGAAGGAGGCAGTGCTAGAAACTCCATAACACAAACAGACATCTGGACACAGGCTGTCTCTGTCCTGCCCCGCACCCATGCCACAGGGTACAACTCTTAAAGCCATGCACTCCCTCCCTCCATCCGTCTCACCGCCCATAAGTGCTCAGTCACTCGGAAGCTCCTGTCTCTAATCTAATTCACACACATTTGTATGTCTTCACTTCATAGACATTTGTGAAAAAATTACAATTTGTGTTTACATCCGGCACTTTGTTAAGTCCACGCAAATGCTTGTTCCTTAAAGAGGCCATCCATATACTACAGTAGTCATAGAGAGAAAATCTACATATTTTTTGGAGTATAAGGCGCACTTAAAATCCTTTAAGTTTCTCAAAAATTTAAAAATTAAGTGCGCTTTATAATCCAGTTAACTTATGTATGAATTCTGGTTGTGCTTACTGACCTCGAACTGATTTTATGTGGTACATGGTGCTCAAAAATCTGTCAAAAAATGCTTTATTAAAACTTTGGTAGGCTGCACTGCTTGATGGCTTGTTGGAGCATTACGGCTGCCGTAGTCAGGAGCCGCACGGAGCAATCCAGGTCCAAACTCCGCTTCAGGTCCCAAAGTCAAACGAACACTGCGGCATCACTGAGAGGTAAGAACTGTCTAAATTCTTTCATCTTTACCTGCTTTACCAGGTGTAACAATCAAGTTTAATTTCCAGGCATCCATGAAAACAGAATTTATTAAATTTAACAGCATTAGAAGTTAGCAGGAAGTTTCCACCTAAACATATCATGTTCTGTGTGACAGATTTCTTAGAAAATTAAAATGTGCAGCTCTGCTATCACTTCCAACATAAATGAAGACAGAAAACTACACAGCAGTGACGTTTGTAGGGTTACTGAAATTGGACTAGCTGGTATATAATGATGTGCTACGTGATTGCTAGCGACACAGCTATGTTAGCATAACATAAACACTAGCTGGGTCCTAAAACGTAGGCTACATCCTTCGGAGGCCGCATTTGAAAGCCGATTATGTCACAGCCAGGTGACAAAGGCTGTCCCAATTCATCGACTCCTTCAAATGCGGCTGACAAATCCGTCCTTCATTTTCCCCGAATTTGAAGGATGGGTTGGGTGTGGCCTTTTAGGCCCATCATATTCCAGAATTCATAGCGCAGCCCTGCCAATTCCAGTTTCCAACAATGGCGGCCGCTACTAAGTTTTAATATTACTTTTATTAATCTTTCTGGATCACAAACTTAACTTTTAACAAAGTAGCCGTATAAACTTTAAATATCTGTTTGGTTTATCAAGACATCGCATATTTGGAAAAGTGCTCCAATGTTTTCGGAGACGTCTGTTACTCACCCGCTCGATAGCTAGCCGGGGGGG